CTGAAAACATCTGAGCTATAAAACTGATGCCGACTCCCACTAATATCTCTGAGCTACGATCATTCCTGGGACTAATTAGCTACTACTCAGCTTTTGTTCCGTCGATGCATGACATACGCGCCCCGCTAAATCATCTTCTGAATAAGAATACCAGCTGGAACTGGACAAAAGAATGTGAAGCTGCATTTTTCAGGCTGAAAACAATCATAAGCTCTGGACTATTGCTGACACACTACGATCCGTTCATGCCTATCATTGTCGCTGCAGACGCTTCAGCTTTTGGACTCGGTGCTGTCATCTCACATTAGTTCCCGGACGCAACAGAGAAAGCTATTATGCACACATCTCACACATTAACTTCAGCGGAAAGATGTCCGGTGTTCGCCCGGGACTACAGACCAAATCATGGTCTCTGGACTGAAGCACATGTTGTCGGAAAATTAGGCCATGTCATGTACGAGGTAGAGGTAGGAAGGGACAGGTGGACTCGACATCGGAACCAGCTACGCAAGCGGTTAGCTCCAGTTCACCCATCGCCAGAAGGGAATCTCCCTTTTGACATCCTATTAGATACCTTTAGTCTACCCGCACTCCCGATACAGGAAGAAGCACATCGACAGGTCGATCTACGACTTAGATGGTGGTCACTCCGACAACGACAACAAACGATCAAAATGCAAGTGGACCCCAGAAACGTACGTCATTAAAAGGGGGAGGTGCTGGGGATGTTAGATCTTCAGAACTCATTTGGTAAATGCCTTAATTTCATAATTTTATTTTGAAGATTTAAATTTCCTTGTTTTCGCGCCAAAAGTGCTCTTTTCACCTTCATGTCGTATTTCCCACTTGGGAGAATCTTTAAAGCTATTGGTCCGTTGTGTATTTTTAGTATGCTATTTTTGCTACGCTTCCCAAGGACAGTTTTATGCTGTATACATACGTTTGATTTGTGTCTGTTATTATTCACTCGTGCTTCTGGCTTACGGAATGTACTTTCTCGTTCCAAGTTAGGACTTCCTCCTCTAGTTAGCGGGGCTGGGACGCATCAAATAGCCAGCTTATTGGTCTACGGTCACAAGTCTTTGTTCTGTTCGAAGATTAAGTGAACTCGTGATAGCTTGAAACCTAGCATATTGGTACAAGAAGGCACCAGATATACATGCGCCACACGTATGGGGTATAGAATTTGCTGTCATTGTATAGCGTTATACCATTCCACGTGGTTAAGTAAAGAACAGGTAACAGTGATTAAGAGTGATATTCTATTTGATTCAGTGGATACACTATATAAAATGGATTTGAGCAAAGCTTTCAAATTTGATTATCTTAATCTCCTTTGTTTTGTTCTCTCAGTAATTCGATATTATTTTAGATTCATTGTGACACTATATAATGATTGCGTAACACAACTAATGAAAGAGTATTGTTTTTTTTATTAAATGGGCAATTGAGAGTTTTTCATTATATAGTAACTAATTAGTAAATATATTTGAATGAATTTAATTTCATTTAAGTTATGCACTTAACATTCTTGTTAATTTTTGTTGGGGCGATTCGGAAACTCCTTGAAATAAGCCAAGAAAGGCTCAGGAAACACTAAGAAGCATTTTATCCAATCAACATTCACTAGATGTTTCGCCGGAAACATCTCGAAAGTGAAAAGTTACATGTCCAGTTTCTGATTGGATGATTACCTATAGTACTACTATGTTTAGTAGCATTCTAGAATTTTCCGGAAACTCAAGAACATCTAAAATACTATAAAAACCCGAGATTTTCTGTATTTGAACGAACCATTGGAGTAAAGTGCTTCTTGGATATTTTGCGCCTTTTCTCTCGTATTCCGGTCGCTGTGTAGTTCTAGCTTGGGGGTTACAAGAATAGCTTAGGAACCAAATATAGCGTTCAATTAGCAAGACTTATCAGTTTAATCGTTTTTTTTGTTTTGTTTTTCTTTTCATTGTTTTACAATGTGTTTAATTGTCACATTTAATTATGTAAGCGAAAATTTATTTTTATTAACACATTTGAATTAAGATGAATTTCTGTAACTCAATTTGTATTTGTAAAATAATATTGTTTTGATGATTTAGATGTTACAGTTGAAAAATTTTCAGTGTTCCCATCAAATGCCCTGGTGTGGCCGAGAGTAAACTCTCCCTGTCCAAATGCACTCACATATCCACGTGTATACAACCAGCTACTGCTAGGGAAGTCTTAGTCACTGCCTTCTCGCAGAGTAACTGTTGTTTATGAATTTGAGGGAACGAAAAGTCAATGTCACGTGCTTAAACGGGTTTGATGGATACGGAGAATCCACCTAGGAAAGTTGGGAAACCCTGATCTCAAACCAATGGCATACATGGGCTCCGAGATTCTAATGGAACAAATGGCGCATGAACTAATTATTGGTCACCAACTACCATGGGACTACATTTCCTTATGCTGCCCCACTGCCTTGTGGATCCGAAATCTAGGTCAAAGGCCCCGGGTTTGGCCCCCTAAGAGGACCACCTACTTCAGTTTGGGCACCCGGGTAGTATCGCAGCTCACACATAAATCAAGTGACTTGTGTGACGCATATGTATTCGGTGCCCCTTTGTACCAATATTTATATGTTGTCTTATACGACATTATCGATCAGCATAAATAACAATGAAAGTTTCTTCATAAAAACTATTCGGTTCAAAGAATAAGACATCACTTTAAAAAGAAATTAATTTAACTTGTTTATGCTAAGCATTCAAAAGTATTGAAGTTATTTTTCAATTACTGAATTATAATCAGGTAGCGCATATTTTAATTGTGTTGTGCTCTTTAAGTTCAAGCATTCAACAGGGGAGCTGTTATAGTCATTGTCATCCAAGGCAACAACTCCGGAGAGAAACAAGTTATCAATGAGACTATAATTTATGGACGACCTATGAACGGCGTTAAAGTGGTCTTGAGAATGTCCAACTCCTTGCTAAAGCTAAATGAGAGTTACAACCCTGTGTGGATAAGAATTGGGATTTACAATTGATGGTTAAGGTTAAGAATTAGATTTACGGTTTTCATCACGAACTGACATTAGCTAAAATCCCTAAACTCTTCCTAACTAAATACATGAGTGAGTTTCGCACCGAAATTCGAGACTTGTTATCTTATATCTGATTGGCTCGTCTATAAATTAAAGTCTCGCCAAATTATCTACTAATTTACTGTATGTTCAGTAGCTACACTGAGCATATATATAATTTTGATTGAGATCATGAACCGATTGATGTTAGAACATCATTGAAAACGTGGAAGCACTGGACGGCCGTCTCGTCCTGTTGTGGGACTCATCAGCAGTGCGCATCCACGATCCCACCTGCGAGATTCGGACGCAGGAACTTCAGTCTCGCACGCGAACGCTTAACCTATTGGACCACTGAGCCGGCATCCAATGGTGTTAATGTCTAACCTCAACCAATCCAACTAATCCGTGTCGGGTAGAGACAAGTATCTACCTCAGTACAATGGAAGATGGTCACGCAATTTCGTGGATTGGTTGAGGTTAGACATTAACACCATTGGGTGCCGGCTCAGTGGTCTAGTAGGCTAAGCGTTCGCGCGCAAGACTGAGGGCCCTGGGTTCTAATCCTGCGGGGGGATCGTGGATGCGCACTGCTGATGAGTCCCACAACAGGACGAGACGACCATTCAGTGCTCCCAGCATTTCAATGGTGTTCTAACATAAATCGGTTCATGATCTCAATCAAAACTTAACAATCTACACAACCCCTATACTGATATATGTAATTGTTAAACTGTGTTCGCAGGATATAGATTGGATTGAAACATATTCCGTCCAGGGCTGTATTGGGGGACACTGATTGACTATTTCTTAACCAATCAGCGCTAGTGGATACTTGAGAAGACTCTAGGATCTTCTTAAATAAAAATTATAAATATATTAACGTTTTTCTTATTGTGATTCCTACTTCTATTCAACCTTGTTATATGGAATATAATTACGTTCCTGTCCAACCATGTTCTGATTCGGGGGCTTGTCGAGTGAAGAAGTGTCCAAAAATACTAAGCAATGAGAGTAGCTGAGTAGTAATAGAAAACATAACAAATTGTAATGATCATAGTTGATTACTTTTAACAACTAGCTTAAACAGATTACATAACTTAATGAGAAAAAAAAGAGAACGTAAAAGATTTAAACAATTTGATCGGTAAACAAATGAACTAAACATATAATTTAAGTGGTTGTAAAGCATTATCGACTAAAATATTTAGAATTTATGTATGAGATATATGTCAGCATCTAGTTTAGGACACCCGACCGTTGTTGCTACCTTGACGTGGTGGTCGGGCTTGCCTATCGTGATGAAGCAACCGAGATATACTGGCTGGAACAACTGTTCCTCAAGGTCCTACCATGTCAGACAGGTCGGTTGAGGAGCGGTAAGACTAAAAGCAACAAACCCAAGGTCCGAAGGCGAAGTCGTACTGTTGACTGTACAGAGGTGTGACAGCAGTAAGGTGTTTCCTTCAGACAACTAGCATGACAGCGATGCTGCCTTCCCACAAGGAGGTCTGGGGTTAGAAAAGGTCGACCCTAAAAATGCGCACCTCACCTTACCTTACGGATTTCCGTCTCCGGCGGTAAGGCCCTTTGAAGAACGGAGCTAACACGTCAAAAACCTCCCACGAAAAGGCCGTGCGCGACCGGCCTCAAGCAGTTGTCCCTTGGGCACTGCGGTCACGCTCTCAGGTCACTGAGACCGCCTCTAATCCAATTTCCTTCTCAGGTACCTCCAGAAGAACCCTTCCACGGTGTGGGCAACCGGGAAGTGATAACCGCCCTCATACCTCTAACAGCACCCAAGACTACTGTATTCATAATCAACCTTCCTATTAGGACACTATGCTAACTAATATAATTTGGAAGGTTCTATGTTACATATAACTAAATGACTGAGTTGAAAAGAACGGAAGTAAATATATGAAATATAATATCCACTTACATCTGCTTCGATTGCTTGAAAGTATTCGAGTTCAATTAAAGTGACTTGTTGCTATAAAAGATAGAAAGAAATGAATTAATAAAAACAAATGTGAAACTAATTAAATGTCGATGTTTTAAAAAAAAATATTGAACTACGTTAGATGACTAGAGGAAGTCAACAAGAAACCTTTTAAATATTCAACATACTATATGAGATGTTGATTTACTTCAACTCATGATCACATTACAACTTGATCAATAAAATTTGATCAGCACTAAATAGGACTAAACAGATATAGAATTAGTCACTATTTACTGATCAATCAACTGTATATAATGAATTATAAATGATTAGATTACAAGTTCCAAAGTCATATTTTGTATACATGAATTTGTATGATCGGATTGAATATTTCATAAAATGAAGGAATTTAGTGTCAAATGTATGATCTTATGCTGTAACTATTCAATAATAAAGAAAAATTCTCAGTTGTTGTTTTTAGCAATAACCGAACACTATCGATAAAGTAAGAATATGATAACTGTGCTGTATGCATTGACATTGGGTGCATTATAATTCTACCTTAAATGATTGGCGGCAGTCAGTAGGATACCCTGCACCTAGGTTTCGTGATAATTGACACTCATTGTCAAGAGAATTTACAATCTTTAAGGACTGGATGTTACCTATGGGACTCGAACTTGAGAGAAACAGTTTAACAGTCTGTGGTGTAAACACTAAGGACTTGACAAATACGATATTGGTCACTATCAAGTTATCAATCGATATGACTGTCTTAATCCTACATGAGGTCGAGGAAGACCTAAATACATCAGTGGTAGCATCTCGGACAGTGAAGTTTGACGAAGCAGATTCGAGTTCCACAGGGAGCACAAGCTCCCCTAAGCTCCCATGTACCCGTTACTAACGCTCGGCAATTATTACAAAACTTGGGTTCTGTTTAACTATGTACAGACAAGCCTAGCATACCGAACATAGTTTTTAATAAGGAGTGTAATCATAGAATACAAAGTAGGAAATACTTTTAACACATAAGTTTTAGAAGATGAAGAATGAATCTCCCTAGGTCACTGTAACCAATTTTCAGATATCTAAAGTTAAAGACAAATGAATACAGTCATTTAGTGGACCCTAACCAGTAAACTGGAGTCACAATACTTAGATCAAACCAACATTCAACAACAACATAGATTAGCCAATCTTAACCTTCTTTTCACTTACTGATTACCACTATATAATCAGTTAGTTGGCTGTAGATGTGTGGTACATGTCACAAACACATTAGTCAATGGAATTTCACAACGTCGTCTACTAAGCGATACACTTATTTTATGATATGTCGACACCCATTTTACACTACAAGTGAAGCACCTCAGTGAATATCAAGTATGCTTTTATAAACCGTACTGATAAATTCTCAGCCAATGACCTGATAAGGTTGACGAAGCTTGAAAGATAAGTTTATTAGTCAATCAGTTAGACTTTCTATGCTCAGATCAGTCACCAAAGCAGACCATTTTGTAGACAATGATTACTTTATTAAGAAAATCTTAATCAAAATAACGATCGTGACAGTGCATATTCAGTTTACAAACTCACACAATAGAAGTTTGATTTTGTCATGAACCTGTTATCGTTGTAACACTATGTCATGAATCAGTCAGCTACAACGGAGGACCAGTCACAATGAAACCCTCCAACGGATAAAATATGAAGCTATGGCATACTGAATAAATAAGAATATTGATGAAAAATGTCATATGAAAACGATCTATAATACTCTTGCCTAGTTATTAGCAGTTACATAGAAAAGAAAGAAAAAAGGCAACAACGTACAGCAATTAATTCAGGATCAACTTTTAAATGTTTTTCATAACGACTTCTACCAACATCTAGTGTATCATAACTTTTACGTACAATTTTCATGACATTTGGAACAGTTGAAGATTTACTTCGATGTGATTTATCGTTTGTTATTATCTTCGATATGTTTGTTGTGGTTCTTTGATTTAAAGTATTTGGTTGCGGGAAAATGGAATCCAGTGAACTCTGAAAAAAAACGAGATACATAAAGTGGTAAAGACTCAAAAAACTAACAAATAAGTGAACTTTGAAAGGAAGGATAGAATAAACTGAACAATTATGTCTTTCTAATTGGGTTCACTTAACAGTAAAATCTGATTCATGATTAAGCCTATTGTGATTAATTAAGTGTAAAAATCACACTTATTTTTTTTGGTATCAGAAGGGGTTTTGTGGGTGTTGTAGTAATTTCAATAGTTGAAGTCATGAGTCTAGATTCAACTGACTCATCTCAACTATTGAAATCACTACAACACCCACAAAACCTCTTCTGATACTAATCAACATATGCTCACTAGTGACTGGCTTCAAGAGGTGTTTCCAGGAGTTCTAATGAGAGGCAGTGATCAGTGGATTTCAACTGGGTCAGTTGTGAGATAGTTACTCACTGATGACAATGATGGATTTGTCGCTCAATTTCGCGGATTATTTGAAGTCAGACATTAACACCGTTGGATGCCGGCCCAATGGTCCAATGATTAAGCGCCCCAGCGCGAGACTGATAGGTTCTGGGTTCGAACCCCGCGAGGCGGGGTCGTGGATACGCACTGATGAGAAGTCCCATACTAGGACGAAACGGCTGTCTAGTGCTTCCAGATTTTCCATGGTGGTCTAGCTTCAGTTGACTCATGATCTCAACCATTGAACTTATTTTTTTTATAAACTGCTACAGTATGTAAATGTCTTGACTGCCTGAGCAGTAATCCAAGCCTTCACATAAATCGAATGATGAAGTGTGGCGTATATGTAATCGGTGCCTCCCTTGTACCAATATTTATGTGTTTAAATAAATGAATAGAATAAATATGTAAATGATATATAGAATCTCAATGTATAGTAATGCAGAAATATGCTGAATGAATCAATTATATGTGACGTAACATCTAGTTTAAGAGTGCAGTGATTTACGACCGGAGACTGAAAATTGATACCAAGCAAGCATCGTCAAGTAATTAGATATCTTTTTGGAAGCTATAGTCTCAATGTTGTTTGTTATATTAACATTTTCTTCTAGTCTTACAATGAAAATGAATTTGATTAGACGATTACTACAACTTAATTAGAAGGTACTATAGTAAGTAAAGTAATTTTAGGCAACGAATCAATAATTTAGTAGGTTAATTACACATGCTATCAACTATTGTTTACTCATCTAGTTCACATAAAATCTGGTACAACTAGGTACCACAAATAGTATGTTTTACATAAATAATATTTATATACGGGGCAAGATATTGCTCAGCAGCTCAAACAGAAATAAGTTTATCAGAAGGGGTTTTGTGGAGATTTTAGAAATTTCAATAGTTGAAATCAGGAGTCAACTGAAGCTAGACGACCATGGAAAATCTGGAAGCACTCAACGGTGCGAGACTGATAGGTCCTGGGTTCGAATATCGCGGGGGGCGGGACCGTGGACTCGCACTGCTGAGGAGTCCCATGCTAGGACGAAACGGCCGTCCAGTGCTTCCAGGTTTTCCATGGTGGTCTATTGTCAATTGACTCATGATTTCAACTATAGAAACAAGTTTCCTTAAAGCGCTACTCTCCCTGGGCCTTTGACTTAATTTCACACTGTAGAGGAGCTAAACCAAAAGACGCCGTCCCGTGGTAGCCAGTAACTAAAAAATAGATTTATACAACATTCGTCCTACCACCAGGATCATGGAAACCATATACATCACTGGTTTACAGTTAGTGTTTTCTAGATCTTCTATATCTACGACCCCGGTCTAAGCACTGAACGTTCGCTGTGTATCCACTCATTTCCCAAAACACCACCGAAACACGAAAACAGTGAGTAGATAGATGCTACGATTGTATAGCGCCATTAAATAATTTCGAGGAGAGAGGACTTTCTTTCCTTGAGAGTATCAGGATATTTAGGGATATGCACTTGCTTCCTGACCGTTGTTGCTACCTTGACGTGGTGGTCGGGCTTGCTTATCCTGATAAAGCAACCGACCTATACTGGCTGGAACAACCGTTCCTCAAGGTCCTACCATGTCAGACAGGTCGGTTGAAGAGCGGTAAGACTAAAAGCAACAAACCCAAGGTCCGAAGGCGAAGTCGCACTGCTGACTGTACAGAGGTGTGACAGCAGTAAGGTTTCCTTTAGACAACCAGCATGACCGATAATTGGTTCATACATAATTTCTTCCTTCAGGATCCTGGAGCCAACCCATGTACACCATTGGTTTGGAATCAGGGTTTTCCAACTCCCCTAGGTGGATCCTCCGTATCCACCGACCCGGTTAAATCACCGGACATCCTTTTTTAGTCCTCTCGATTTCGTGAACAACAGTAAAGCCAGAAGGTAGTGAATAGGAATTCCCTGACAGTAGTTGTATGCACGTGGCCATGTGAGAGCAGTTGGAGATGGAGAGTCAACCCCCCCGCTCTCGGCTGTACCAGGGCACTTGGGGGTGGGCAATGTGTTCTTTGACCTTCTTCTTTTCCGCTTCCCTTCAGGATTCCGTGTTAGGGCTTGCCTCATGATGTAATTTGGTGATTATTGCTACTATATTATTGAAAATCTCTATTGCTATTCATGTTATCAATTTATTCTAGTATGGAAATTTCAGCCAACACACATCTATACCACATTTCACATTAATAATAATTTTAGCTTATACAGAATTTCTTGATGATGCATTTGATACACAATCTATTGCCAAATATATTTGCTACATTAATAAGAAAGCATTAATTATCATAGAGAAATAATTTTTTCAATTATTTACTAATTACCAGTTGTTAGGGGTTGTGGAGATTGTTAAGTTTTGATTGAGATCATGAACCGATTGATGTTAGACCATCATTGAAAACCTGGAAGCACTGAACGGCCGTCTCGTCCTATTGTGGGACTCATCAGCAGTGCGCATCCACGATCCCCGTCGCAGGATTCGAACCCAGGAACGTCAGTCTTGCGCGCGAACGCCTAACCTACTGGACCACTGAGCCGGCATCTAACAGTGTTAATATCTAACCTCAACCAATCCACGAAATTGCGTGACCATCTTCCATTGTACTGAGGTAGACACCTGTCTCTACCCGACACTGATTAGCTCCACTGGTCACGGCTTCTCACCAGAACTCTGAGAATTTTCTCACGAAGCTAGTCACTAGTGTGCACATGGTAATTTTCGCGGGTTCGTGGAAGCACACTGCTGAGGAGTTTCACAATAGGACGAGACGGCCGTTCAGTGCTTCCAGGTTTTCAATGGTGGTCTAACATCAATGGATTCATCATCTCAATCAAAAATATTTACTAATTACATTTAATTGAGCCGATTATTGTTTTCTTTTTTTTTGGTGATTATCTTTCAAATTAAATTTTTATGTTTGATAGTTTTTCTTGAAAATCGATCTTGTTTAAGCTCTGAGAAAAGAAAACAATCACTATAGTAACGATTAATGTTAGGTTAATGTTGTTAACTTTCTTTTTATATTTTGACAATAAAAAAATGTGATTATATATATATATCTATATATATTCTGTTTTGTTATTTATGTATATAAAACTTGAATGAACCAATTAATTATTATTTACTTAATCAAATAAGAGATTCAATCAAACAATGCTTAATGATTTAATAATTAGATAGAATAGTAAGAAGTAATGTGTAATAAGGCATATATTAAAAAAAGAGATATGATAATAAACTGAAATAAAACTGTACAGAAGCATGTGAAATGATATCACGATAAAAGAACAAACAAATCTTTTCCCAATTTCGTAGAATATGGAGTGGAAATGCATGGGCATTAAGGAGATAAGTTCTAGTTTAAGTCAAAGAATTTTGAATTCTTACTAATGGGTTCGAAGCTTTAAACCTAGTCAATCCAACCGAGTGGTGTTTAGCACTTAAACAATAAGCGTAGCTTAGGACCTTGAAAAAAACAGTTTAAGTAACTTATGAACTGGAATCACCCCACTTAATTTAAGGCATTATAAATAAAACACAATTTGTACGGGGGATTTCTGGATATTGTAGTATTTTGATAGTTGGAATCGCGAGCTGATTTTAGCTAGGCTACTATTAGCCCCCAAATGCTCTGGTTTGGTGGAGGGTGGGGAGTCACCCCTCCCTCTCCAAACGCTCCCAAATAACCACGCGTATACAGCCACTGTTGGGGAAGTCCTACTGTCTTCTCTCAGCCGGCGTGTTGTTTACGAAATTGAGATGACAAAAAGCGGATGTCCGGCGCTTTAACGGAGTTGGTGGATATGGAGGATCCATTTAGGGGAGTTGGAAAACCCTGATTTCAAACCACTGGTGCACATGGGTCCCGGGATCCTGAGAAAACAAATGACGTATGAGCCTACTAATGGTCACCGGCTACTATGGGACCGCATCTCTTAACGTTGCTTCACTGCCATGCGAATCAGACGTTTAGGTCAAAGGCTCGGGAAGTGCCCCCCTCTAAGTAAACCCCCTGCTCCAGTTTAAGTGCCCGGGCAGTGTTCCAGACCTCATACAAATCGAATGATGAAGTGTAGTGCATATAATTTTGGCAGCCTGTTTGAATACCTGGGCTACCTCTTCCTGACATCAACATATCTTAACAAGTTACCTGTCTTTTGTTTGTTTTAACACATCATTATGTCGATTAATCGTACGACCTATTTAGGCGCGTTTATGAAAAGTTTGCGATCTTTCGCCGTAAAATTTACAAAAAAGTACAATCAGAAACAAGGTTTATGTACTTCTGAGGTACGCCCTTCAAAGGCAGACACTGCCACAGAATCTCGCGGTCTACCGAATCAAATGAAAGTAAAAATGGACACTTTTGGTGCAAAAATGAGAGAATTAAATTTCCATAATAAAATTACAAAATGAGACGTTTACCAAGTGATTTCTGAAAATCTAGCATCCCTAACAGAATTGCTTAAATTGGTTTATGATTTTCATATTTCCATATAAATATTCATATATATGTAAAAGATAAAACTTGGTAAAGATTAA